CTGGACTGACCTATCCCCTTCCTAACTCCCTACCTACACTCACCTTTACTGGCTCCATCCCCGCCTCTTCGACCTGTTTGTTTCCTCTCCACCTATCCTCTCCTCTATCCCTCTTCTATCCGCCTCCCACTCTCTCCCTATTTATTTCAAAACCCCCTTCCCCTCCCCCTTTTCTGATGAAGGGTCTAGGCCCGAAACGTCAGCCTCTCTGCTCCTATGATGCTGCTTGGCCTGCTGTGTTCATCCAGCCCTGCACCTTGTTGTCTCGGATTCTCCAGCATCTGCAGTTCCTACTATCTCTGATTCAACAATAACACCTCTTCTTCCTCAGGCAGCTCAGGAAATTTGGCATGTCCATAAGGTCCCTCACCAACTTTTACGGATGCCCCATTAAAAGCATACTGTCTGGGTGCATAACAGCCTGGTATGACAACTGCTCTGCCCAGGACTGTAAGAAACTACAAAAGGTGGTGTGCACAGCCCAGACCATCACAGAAGCCAAACTACCATCCAGAGACTCTATTTACGTGGTTTGCTGTGCAGAAAGGCGGCCAATATCATCAAAGGCCCATTGCATGCCAGTAATGACCTCCTACAACTTCTTCCGTCAGGCAGAAGATACAAAAACCTGAACACATGCACGAGCAGATTCAGGAACAGCTTCTTTCCAGCTGTTATCAGATTGTTGAATGAACTAGCCTCAAATAATGTAACCAGCAATGTAACCTGTATGCCTCTAAGTCTTTTTGATCTGTATATGCTTTATTTGCTGTGATCATAAACGTGATGTGCTCATAAACAAAGCTTTTCACTGTATTTTGGTACACGTGACAATAAAATCAAACAGAGCAATACAAGGAAAATCCTATTCAGATTTAGTTTAACTCCTCAAAGTCAATAAGTTACTAGATTCAGTGAGATGTAATACTATTTATTCTAAGATATGAGATAACTTCAGGGGTAAGATGGTGGAGGAGTAGGTTTTCTGAGCCCGGGATTTGTCCGCTCTGTCTACTTTTCTTTCCGTCTCTCCTCTTTTTTTAAATTCCTCTCTTCTCTCATTTTTTACCTCTTCTATTTTAAATTTATTTACCTATTGGTGAAGAGCTCGGTTGTAGCAATGGCACTGGCGGCAGTGAGTGGGCCCAGCAGCACGGATTGGTGGTGGCAGCAGCAGAGTAGACTTTGGGCCAGTACAGTACCCAGTAGCATCGGCAGCATCTGCATTGGCGAGGTCCAGCAAGGAATCAGTGGCGAGGGCATCGGTGGAGGTGAGATGGCGCTGAAGAGTGGTGACTTTTGTTGCAGCGGTGGCAGCATGATGAAGGGACTCATGCCTGGCCACCAGGCCCATGGCCTGTGATGGAGCACTGAACATGAGGGGCTGTGAAGTTGGACACTTTCTTTATTTTTCTGCCTTTAGATATTCTTTATCTTGATTCATTTTTACGTTTTAAGATGGCACTGGACATTGGCAACACAATTCAATATATTTCACTATTTTGTAACGAGAAACATGTGACAATAAATAGATCATGTGGACATGTAAAAAGGGGTAAAAAAGCTTTTATATCATTAAGACATTTAATATATTTATAGTCACGACTGCAAATGCAGCTGGTAACCTCAACGTGTTTTTAGGCTGAGATGCACCTTATAGGTTTTGTGCTCCTTTGAGGTATGTGATCAAAAACTTTCCCAATCCAGAATTGACAAATTTCATCACAATTGAGACATGAAGATGGAATATGCTAAGTGGTACAGTCTTAGAACTTCATGACAATCAGACGTATATCTTACTTATTAGCCTTACATTGCTGTTGTTCATCTCCAAAGTTTACTCGGAGCACATTAACAAATATTAGACCTCCTCAGGGTTGGGTACTTTCACCTTTGCTTTTCATCCTCTATATGAGTGAATGTTGATCAGAGCATGGGGACATTAAGTATGCTGATATGGTACTTTTAAATCTCAAAAGAAATAGCAAAGTAAACTGTAGGAGATGCTCAAAAAATGGTGTGATAACAATTGTCTGAAACTGAACAAAAAGGAAGAACTAATTAAAGACTAGGAAAAATATCCCTGGAAGATTCATGATGTGGAAACTGAAATACTTACTAACAACAAATTTCTACATATCAAAGTAATAAGTGGAGTTCAAGAGAACAGTGTACAAATGCATTCACCAAGGAACACATATCAGAAAATTAAAATCCTTTAAAGTTGGTCCGACAATCTGAAACTTTTTTTTGGATGTATCTCCTGGTACTACGGTGCTAGGAAAATAGGTATTTAAAAAAGGTATAAAATTACTGAGCTGGATAAGAAGGGAATTAGATGACTGGATCTTTTGTGATTAAATGTGTTCTTGAATGATCTTGAAGTAAAGAAAAGAGTGTCACGAATAATAAGAATTCTCTTCATCTCAGTATTACTGTTGTGTGTGTTCACGGAAAAGCCTACAATTCTTCACATGCAGTAAAAATCAGATCTTTAGCTAGAGTGTGCCCTTCTCTAGATCAGCTTTTAACAGTAATTTGGTGAATGGATGAGGAATTGCACTTATGATGGGACATAACAGATTTTAGTGTGGTGGAGAATCTTAAATGCATATCAGAGTTACACCTTCGCAATAGGGTAATTTTCTTTCTTGCTGTTGTTACTGTTCAGTTTTATAAATGATTAAGCAATGTATCCAAATTAATTTCTGTACAAAATGAAGCTAAAATTGTTACTTTTCCCATCAATATTCAAATATAATTACTCATAATACATAACACAATAGCAGGTGACAAATATGTTTATTTAGATTTTGTGCTCTAACATGATTTACTTTTTGAAATAAAGTACCTTAAACGTAACCAGTATGTTAAGATTAATTAAAGTATAAGTTTTGTATCATGGAAACACAATGTTTATATTTTTCAAAAACAATTCTCGTTAATTCTATTCGTTAGATGGAACCTGGGACTCCATTGGAACAAAATATCAAACGTGTCCAATCTTCTCGGCAATCTAGAATAAAACCAAGAAGTATAATTAAACTCCAATGACATGAACAAACAAGTTACTAAAAGGAAAACACAGAACAGTAATGAAGTGCCATACCAGACTCAAAAAGTTAACTCTGTTTCTCTTGTCACAATGCTGCCAAACCAGCTGAGTTTCCTCAATACCGATATGTTGTATTGTCACATAAATACTTTAAAATTGAAATAGTATCCTTTATCAAAACAGTTATTGGCCTAGATGGCCTGAAAATAGATCTCTATCTATGTGAATACAAGAGATAGCAGGGCAGGTAGAATATTAGGAACAACATTGAGAACTGTACCACAATTACAAGTTGCGGGATACTACAGCACAGTTCACTGGTTCTTCTAGCCTCAAAAGTAAATGACGGTGCCAAGTAAAAGCATTTGAAAAGGGTTATACATCAGAATTCTGTGTAATTTTTTTGCTTCCAGTGGAAACTACATAGATAATGAGAGTTTTGAAAAAAGGGGTAAGTGAGAGCTATAGAATCAGAAATCTGCAGCATTTTTGTCCATCACGTCAACACCGGTCAAAAACAATCTAATTGTTCTAATTGTTATCTCAGATTCTCCAGCATCTGCAGTTCCTACTATCTCTAATTGTTCTAATTCCATTTTCCAGCACTTGGCCCATGGCCTCGTATGCCTTGGCATCACACGTGCACATCTAAAATATTTATCTTAAATGTTATGAGGGTTTCTGCCTCTACCACCCTTACAGGCACTGAGTTCCAGATTCCTCCCATCGCCTGGGTGAAAATGTTTTTCCTCATATCTCCTCCTGTACCTTCTGCTCTTTATCTTCTATCTATGCCCCGGTCATTGCTTCCTCTATCCTAATATGTTTCTTCTTGACTACCCAATCTCTCAAATTTCATATATCTCAATCACACCCTTTCTCAATCTCCTCTGCTCTATGGAACACAACCCCAGTGTGTCCAACCTCTCTTCATAACTGAAACTCTCCAGTTCAGGTAACATCATGGTTAAGTATCCTTTGCACTCTCTCTAGTGCTATCACATCCCTCCTATAATGTGGCTTCTGGAACCGCACACAATGCTCCAGCCTCACCAATGCTTTGTGGGAATAGGTGGAGAAAGTCAACCTTCTCAAGATCAGATCAGTCACAATTTTATTGAATGGTGAAGTAGACTTAGCGCCTAGCTCACTCCTGATCCTACTTCTTGTGTTTTCTGCCCTTACCAAACTAATTAAATGAGACAGTTGGAGGGATGTGGTGATGGTAATGCAAAGCATTATAATTATGTATAATAAACATTATAATCCAAAAACTTGGCCTTTTGTATATCCTGTGCTATAACAGATCCCATCCACACACAAAATCAATGTCCAGCACATTAAATTCTACTCTAACTACATTATGTACTTTAGTACAACTGGACTTCACACCGAATACCAGTGTACACAGAATATGAGTGTTGACTAAACTAACTAAAACAAATGGATGTTGTCATTTAATATCCAGTTAACAATGTACATCTAGTGCGTACTGTGTGCTTGGTCTGCAAAAGGTTTTGCAAAAGCAGTTAAGGTTTTCATAGCAAAAAGAGAACAACCCTATTAGTGCCCATTCCCGTCAACAAGCTTAAACTCTCAAGTTCTCAATAAATATTTAGATTCAATCAACTCAAATATAGGCTCTGGTTATATGGATCATAGGTATGCAATCAAATCAAGCATAAATGACTAGCTATGTCCCACAAGGGTTTTTTTCTGGAGTTTCAACCATTCCTATCATTTATGAATGATGTATTAACACAATGGCAAACTATAGTTTAAAGTTTGCTGCTGACACAATGATTGGTGACATAATTAGTGTAGATGGAAACAAAAAAATTTCAAAAAGATATTGACATATTCAGTAAGTGATCAAAATTGTAGCATAGACAGATTTTGACAGTGGAAGGTGAGAGGTCAGATATTTCAGACTGAACCAAAAGATACATCTGAATATTCCCCAAAATGTTGGGAAGCTTGCAAAGACTAAGTTCAAAGAGATTAAGTGATCCATCTACATAATTAGTAAAACATACCAGTCAGGTATAAAGTGCATTACCAAAAAGACCTTTGAATGTAATCCTTTACCTCTAGGAGGTTTTGCTACATGTATATAAAGCTCTGGTTAGATCACATCTGGATTATTGGGCACAGTTCTGGGCACCACGCTGTAAAGAGATATAACTAAAAACATCTGAAATTAGGAGTCAAACGATGACCATGAATCCATTGTCGATTGTTGGAAAAACCCATCTGGTTCACTTTAGGGAAGGAAACTGCTGTCCTTACCTGGTCTGGCCTACATGTGACTCCAGACCCACAGCAATATGGTTGACTCTTAACTGCCCTCTGGGCAATTAGGGATGGGCAATAAATGCTGCCTGGCCAGTGATGCCCTCATCCCATGAATGAATAAAAAAAAACTGTCTTGGAAGGTGTCTATTGCATATCCAAATGATACTAGGCTAAGTTGAGTAAAGATTAATATACAAAATAAGACAAGGGATGATTTGATTGAGTAGTTTAAAGAATTTATGACAGAATTGATATTGTAGGTGGAGAACTTTTTCAGTTGGTGGGGGAGCCCTGGAAAAGAGACATAATCTAAAAATGAGAGTCAGGCCATTCAGGAGATAAGTTAGAAACAGTTCCTCACACAAAAATGTGGAAGAAAATGTGGTACTCTCTCCCACAAAAGCAACAGATAACTAAGAGTGTTAAAAGTGGCTAGAGAGATTAATAAATTGATTTTAATTGTCCAAAAATTCCCTAGATTCAGGAAGGTTCCATTAGATTGGAAAATCACAAATGTAGCACCTTTATGCAAAAAAGGGATGGAGACAGAAAGCAGGAAAGTACAGGCCAGTTAGTTTAATATCTGGCATTGAAAAGATATCAGAAGTTTTATGGAACATATATTAGAAAATTAGATGAGTTCAAGATAATCAGGTAGAGTTAACATAGTTTTGTGAAAAGGAAATCATGTTCAACCAATTTAGAATTCTTTGAAGAAGCAATGTGTTGTGGATGAAGGAGAACTGGTGGGTGCACCATACTTAGATTCCAGAAGGTATTTGATAAGGTGCCACAACAAAAGTTATTGTAAAAAATAAAAAAATAGAGCAGGGATAACATATTGGCATGGAGAGCTACAGGCAGTTCTGGGGCCTCAACTTTTAACAATTTATATAAATAATTTGGATAAAAGGGACTCAAAGTATAGCTGCTAATTTTACTGATGACACAACCGCAAGTTGTGAAGAAGATGCAAGGAGGCTACAAAAGGAGGTGGACAGATTAAGTGAGTGGCCAAAGATAGGGCAAATGGAATATAATGTGTGAAAATGGGAAACTGTCCATTTCTGCAAGAAGAGTGAAAAAGCATATCACTTAAATGGTGAAAAACTGCAGAGCTCAGACATAGAGGGATCTGGGTACCCAGCACATGAATTGCAAAAGGTCAGTATGCAGGTATAGCTAGTAATTAGAGAAACTCAATTTTGTTTTGATAGAGGATAGGAGTACAAACATATGCTCCAGTAATACAGGACATTAGTGAGACCACATCTAGGGTACTGTTTACAGTGTATATTTCCTTACTTAAGGATTTAAATAATTGGAAACAGTTCAGAGATGTGTACTAGACATATACCTTTTGGGAGCAGTCAGTCTTAGGGGGAAGGGTTGAAGAGGCTAGACATATATCTGGAGTTTAGAAGAGTTTGAAACACAAGATTCTAAGGCATTTTGACAGGGTGGGTATGGAAATATGGAAAAACGTGAGAGAATCTAAAGCTAAGGGTCATTTCTAAAATTAAGAAGTCCACCACACAAGACAGAGATGAAGAGAAGTTTCTGACAGGATCACAAGTTCTCAGAATACTCTTCATCAAAAAGGCAGTGGAAGTAGTCTTTGAAATTTTTTTTTTAAAGGCAGCAGTAGATAGATTTTTGGTAAGCAAGGGGGTGAAAGATTACAGGGTAGGCTGGAATGTTGTTACCAGATCAGCCATTGTTTTATTGAATGGCAGAGGGAGGCTACTCTTGCTCCTAATTTGTATTTGTATTATTGATAAATTTAAATTTGAAATTGATAGATTTTTGCTGGTCCAAAGACATGAAGTGAATGAAGTTACGGTGTAGACCAACCATAATTTCATGAAATGATACTACAGAGTGACAGACTGAAAGTCTTTGTGTGTTCTTATGTTCCTAAATGACATCAGGATTATGATCATATCCCAATTTGCAAGCGATAGAGATGCAAGAAAGTAAATACACTTACAACTGTTGAATAAACACAGAATCAAACTTTATAATAGGAGGACAGCAACAAAAAGGGATCAGGAGGCAACAAACAAGAAAAAGAATGAACGTATCGTCCCTGAGAAAGGATCTTTACACTTCACAGGTAAGTGTCAAATGAATACTATCCTAGTATCCCTGAGAGAAACAGTAATGAACTGCATGAACGTTAATTATGCATTGGTAATTTATGCTTACTCCAAAATGAGGATACCAAACCAGGAAAAGCAGAGAATGTTCTATAACAAATAATCAATCGCAGGCAAGAAGAAATAAAGGATCCACAAATGAAAGCTTACTGCTGGTTTTCAAAACTTAAAATTAAGAACATGCTCATTGAAAATAACTGCGATAAATAAAAATATGTATAGTCTTAACAATAACTAAATAGACTATGCCAGTGGAAGACAAATCTTTAGTTTTGTAATTCAAACTATGACAGTCTTGTATGTCATCAAAACATTGGTTCCTGACCTGATCATTTTCTATTGTCATCATGACATTTGAAAATATTTCTCAGGTTCTCCAGGTCTTCACTCTGGATATGAACCTCTTCCATAAGTGTAGACATAAACAGTTCTGAAGTGAGCTTCTGCAGAGCTTTCTGTAGTGCTGAAATCTTCACAGCTAGCCTGCATCAAAACAGACATACAGATAGTAAGGAGTTTTTTCAAAAGTTTGGAATTTTTCTATTATTCAAGCAATCTCCTTTAAAAATATTTCCAGAGATGTTTTTAAAAATTATTTTTACATAAAATGACAAGTTAAGGTTACTCAGCTGAAGATCAATAAGCAGTTGTCAGTCACCATAGTCTTATCATAGGGTTGCTCTCTCATTAGAGAAAGATGACTGGTGGTGGTCTAACCTGAGAATCACTGGGCCTTGGGCAATGGGAGAGGTTAGGAAGGATAGCCCTTCATGGCAACCTCACCAGTGCAGGAACTGAACCCAGGCTGTTGGCATCAATCTGTGTCACTCCAACAAAATAACCAATCCCCAGTGTCAGATGATTACAACACTTAGACTATCCATGATTCTGGGACACAAAATGAAGCAATCTCAATTTAAACAGTTAGTTATTTGGCACACTTTTCAAACCAACAGAAAATATGTTCTTGCTATATGCGCAACCTAAGAAAGAAGCTTGGAAAAAGATACAATTAGTTTAAGAATTTTTAAAATCAGCTGCTTAAATCTCAAAAAATATGATCACAAACAATGGTGGATTAGTTTCACCTTTACATATGGAAATCTTCAATTTACAAGTTTCATCTTGCAGAGATCTCAAACAACATCTAATTTATTAGCATTGCAGTGGTGAAGCTGTCATCTATGAAAGGATTTACTTTGAGGAAATCCTCATCTGCAATCTGTTAATGCAATATTGAGTTTTTTTTAAACAAAGTGTATAATTTTCTGGGTAATGAAGGAATTTGTTGTAATTTCTAATTAAACAGCGATAGGATAAAAATTCAGCATCTAGAAAAATATAATAACAAAGAATCAAAAGAACTATAGATGCTGGAAATCAGAAGAATAAACAGAAATTACTGGAAAAACTCAGCAGGTCTGCCAACATCTGGGGAGAGAAAGTAGAGTTAACATTTCAGGTCCAGTGATCCTCCTTCAGAAGAGTTCTGAAGGAGGATCAATGGACCCAAAACATAGAAAAATATGTATTTATTTAGCAGCTATTACATGAATTACTTGAGAGTTAATTTTGAAGTATAGTCACTATTTTGCACAACAGCAGCTTTTGCTCATCCAAGTGAAGCTGCTGAATACACAGTTTACATTATGAAATGCTTTTAATAGAGTTAAATGTTGCAAGATGTTTCACAGGATTGTCAAGAAAATAATCTGATTCTGAGCAACATAAGGAACTATTAGAACAGGTTAGCAAAACTTGGTCAAGAATGTGGGTTTTAAGCAATGAACTAAAGGAGAAAAGGTGCAGAAGCTTAGAGAGAGAATTCTAAAACTTGGAGTCAGGCATTTGAAAGCACAGCTGACAGTACAGCAGTCAAATTCAGGGATCCACAAGAAACCAAAATTAGAGGAGTTCAGAGATCATAGAGGACTAAGTAGGATAAAGAGAGGAGAGAGGCAAGTCCATGGAAGAATTTGAAAACAAAAGATGGAATTTTAAAATCAAGGCTCCCCAGATTGGAACCAATGTAGATCAACAGCACAGAAGTGATCATGAAATGGTTTTTGGTGAGTGTTTGAGTAGAGGCAGGATTTGGGTGAACTCACGTTTATGAAGGGTGGAAGATAGAACCAACGGCCACAGTTTTAGTAACTGGACAACAACTGGGCAGTTACAGAACTGTGAAGCACGCATTTTTCAAAATTTTCTTTATAATTTCATTCCTTGCTTTAAATAATTGAATCAATCTTGAAACAAGGCTGAAACCTTTAAATACATAACTAAATTTCTGATGTAAAACCAGCAAGTTGTGAAAAATTATTCCAAATTTTCTTTTTATACAAATTTCATAGAATATATGACTTCAGCAAGTTATGGCTTGATTCAACAAACTATAGAAATCTTGTGCTTCAAATATCCAGGCTTGCAAGATGTCAAGTTGAACACTATTTACCAGACAATCACTGTTATTATCTGAAATAGCTTCCAACATATGGGTAATGTAGATTTTTTAATCTACCTGCAATTTTCTGTAAACAAGCTGAGGTTATATAAACAGACATAAATACACACCTCTTATAAAAAAAATTGAATAGGGAGGGTAACCAGAACAGGTAACGAAGATTCGGTGTTGCAAACACATGCTGCAATTTGAGGAATCATGCTGCCCTGAGCTATCAAGGAATCTACATAAATGATTTTTTTTCCCATTGCAAGTACATGCAGTATGACTCTGAGTAGAACCAAACAATACTAAAGATTACATTTGTCAGTCATGAAAGATTTCCTTTCTTATGACAAAACAGACCAGAATTTCTCAATAGCACACTGTACCAAAGACTAGCTGTACACAATTGATATACAAGTCCTAGTTATTATTTTCCAAAGCACTTTAAAATAAAACTCTGCTGCTGTATACAATTTTTCATTCCTCTGATTTTCGCCTAAAAAATTAAAAGTTCAATATCGATTGTCAATGTTTTCAAAAGCATTACGTCACTTGATGTGAGAGAATAAAACTCATACCAAGCGTTGACAACTAGTGCCATTTAGCGAAAAGAATTGTAAATTATTTAAGCTGGTTAAAAAGAGAAGCACTTCAATTATAATCATGAAAATATTAGAAACAGCCATCAGTGATTGGATTTAAAGACATAATTATCAATACTGCTTTTTCAGAGAGATTCAAATGCTTCATATTTCTGAATAGCAAAAAAAAATACTTTTAATACATCATACAAAACAAAACATGGATAATATTTAACATTGATAAAAACAAGAGAAGGGGACAAGAACACAGTGAGTGGCAACATCTCATTCATACAGTGAAACATTTGCCTTAAAGAGATTAAAATACTTTGCTTCCACCACCTTTTGGGGAAGAGAAAGGCTCATGAATCTCAGAGAAAATTCTCATCTCTGTCTTAACTGGACAAGTCATTATATTAAACAAAGCCCCTGCTTTGAGAATGCCACCCAAGAGGAAACATCCTTTACGCAAGCAACCTGTTAAGACTCTTCAGGATCTTACATGTTTCAATCAAGTAACCTCTTACTCTTCTAAATTCCAGTGAATTCAAGCCTAACCTATCAGCCATTTAGCTTAACATCGGTCATTGAGAAAATGTTAGAGTCTATCATAAAGGTTGTAATAGCACAGTGTTCAGAAGTACATAATATAATCTAGCAGAGTCTGAATGACTTCATGAAGGGGAAATCATGCCTGACCAATTTATTGGAATTCTTTGAAGATGAAAGAAGAATCGGTAGAGGGAAACCAGTAGAAGTAATGTTTTTAGATTTCCAAAAGGCATTTGATAAAGGTATCATATGTTCAGCTAATTAATGTGATAAAGGGCATCATATGTTCGGCTAACTAATATGATAAGGGCCATGGTGTTGGGGTAGTATATTAGCAGCTGGATAGAAGATTGGCCAACTCATAGACAAAGAGTTAAGATTGGGGGTCATTTTCAGGATGGAATAATTAACTAGTGGAGTGCCACAGGAATTAGTACTGGGGCCACAATTATTTACAATACACAATGGATTAAGGAAGTAAATGTACCATCACCAAGTTTGCAGATGACACAAAATGTGTCAGTCAGGTTGTAAAAATAGCAAAGTCTATAGAAGGATACAGTCAAGTTAAGTGTGTAGGGAAGAACTAGGCAGCTGGAATACGGTGTGGAAATGTGAGCAGTTATACACTTTGGTAGGAGGGCTGAATTTTATTTAATTGGAGAAAGACCTCAGAAAGCTACAGCACAGAGGAACTTGGAGATTTTGCATAAATAGCAAAAAGCTAGCAATCAAGTTCATGACGTTATAAGGAGGACAAACGGAATGCTGGTTTTTATGGCAAAGGGAAAAGAATGCGAAAAATAGGGAAGTCTTACTAAAACTACACAAGATACTAATTAGATCGCATATAAAATACTGTAAACAGTTTTGATCCCCTTATCTAAGGGAAGATATTCTAGCATTAGAGGTAGTCCAGAGAAGGATCACTAAGTTGATCTCAGGCAAGGATTCATTTTCTGAACAGGAGAGGTTGAGTAGGTTGTGTCTGTACTGATTGGAGTTTAGGGAATGAGAGGTGACCTTATTGAAACATACAAAATTCTTTGGGGAGTTGATAGGGTAGATGCAGAGAAGTTATTTCCCCTTGTGGGAGACTTTAGGACCTAATGGCATTATCTCAGAGTAAAGGGCTCCCCAGTTAACACAGAGATGAGGAGAAACTTCTTCTGAGGGTAATGAATCTGTGGAAATCTTTACTGCAGAACATTGTAGTGCCTGGATCATTAATTATTTAAGGTTGAGCTGGATTTTTAATCATTACAAGGAAACATGGATTACAGGGAAAAGACAGGAAAGTAGAGTTCGAGATTAGTGAATCAGATCAGTCATGATCACGCAGAATGGTGGAGCAGACTTGATGGGCCAACTGGCCTACTTCTGCCCCATGTCTTAGGGTCTGTCCAACATATCCTCATAAGGCAACCTGTCCAGTCCAGGTTTTTGTCCATTTTACCTTCTTCGAACTGCATTCAATGTAATTATATCCATCTTTACTCTACACAGCATGCCAGATAATACCTCAATGCCTTGTATAGCTGAAGCATAATTTTATTACTTTTGTACTCAGGTGGAGGAGGGGAAGCAGCAGTCGGAATATTATCTCAGAATATTATCCCCAAAAAAGCTAAATTCAAGATTCCATTCAATGATAAATAGAACTCTATTTTGGTAAAATTCTGATATCAGATATACTTCATTTCTGAAAAACTAAATTATTGACTGAAAATTACATACTCCTTAGTCATCCTTAATTGCATATTTTGTACAGGATATTTCATGAACTATGACGGTTGGGTGGATCTTCACTGATATTACATATGGTGCCACAATGTGGCTGTACATAGTTCCTCAGCAGTTCAAAATAAGTTAAGACATGGTCAGCAAGTGCTTCTAAGAGA